CTTCTGCAATTTTCTGTCTGTTTAGATCATCCACCTCCCTTTTTACCTTTCTCTCTCTTTCTCCCTCTCTCTCTCTCTCTCATTGCTACTGTCAACAAAGAATGTGTAGGCTTCCCACAGGCCCTAAAGGAATCTCTCACACTGCACTCACATAATCACTTCAGACCCGGCTGTTTAGGCCGACATCTCCGCTGGGAGTTACCAGCCGCTTGCTGCAGGCCAAATCAGACCGCTGTGTGTAAAAAAAAAAAAAAAATCAACTGCAACAGTGAAACAAAGAAGAGCAAGTGAGACAGACGAGCGTGACCAGTCTGAGAACATCAAGGACTCGTCTTTTTGGGGGCTGAATGTCATACTCTCCTCCTGCAGTAATGGGATGATTTGGTGCCCTCCTGTAAGACAATGATATGAGAGGTTTCCTTTGACTACACAACACAGACACATATTTTGTCTTGTGAAAGTGTGTACAGGTATGTGTGTTAGTGTAGAAGGTCAGACATACCTCTCTCCCAGGGGTGCATCTAGAGAGGTGGTTAGGAGTGGCTCTGACCTCCCCAAAAACTGACTGGCCCCCTCTGGTGCCACCCAAGCTATAAGTTTTATTTAGCTTGCTAAAAGTGGGCCTGATGAAAGTTAAAATCATCTATTTGGGATGTGTAAACAGGCTAGCAGTAGTTTTCTTGAAATTTAAAAGAAAACATTTTCCTCAGTTAAACTGTGACTTTGGACAAGCACCTTCTTTTCAAGTCCCTAAAAGAATTCAGCTTAGATGATTTGTCCGTCATCACACTACTGTTTTTCATTTGAAATTAAGTTTTAAAGAAATATACACAGGGGTATAACTGTTGTGTGAAATTTTAAGCTGCTGAGAGCAATTTTCAGTTTGTGTAAACTTTGGCGTCCTCTGTGGACAAATCTCATCCTGCCAAAGGTGTCATTTATTGTGAATATTTAATGTGGAAATTGTGAAACAGGGCTGTTTATTCAGTTGTTCCGCTGACACCTAGCCCCTCACACCAATTTCAGGCATTAAAATTTATTTTTCATTTTTTTTATATTTTTGCTTTATTTCTATTATGAAAGGCATTTACATGAATTTCAGTCTATTCCATGAACTTTGAAAAACTTCTCATAGAAGCTTTTAATGATTGTTGTTTAAGTAGATTGTAACTTCACAAGTAAACCACAAGTATCCTGGCAACCCTGCCTGTGCCAGTACTACCCCAGCCATAAAAGTACGTGCACACCCCTACTTTTACCACCATTGTTTCCGAAAAATGATTGTAATCCCAAGCATCACTTTCTTACATAGAAAAAAAAACTAAATTTAATGACAAGTTTAATGACTCCTTGGCCAGGCAAATGGGCTTTGTTTAAAATCTCCAGCCTCGTTAAAAAGAAGCCTCCAATTAGAGGCATCCTTAAGAAGACAATTTCACAGCTCTCATCAAGGTTCAAAGAAGAAGTGTTGATGCCTGATCCCTCGCTAATGTCAGGCTCAGACGGGGAAAACATTAAATGATCAAGGTAGGAGAATAATTTTAGCATCGGCAGGTACAGAGTGAAGCCTGAGGGATTTAAACATCTATGAAACACTGAGTCAAATGTATCGGCGGGATTAATATCTTAAATCAATCACTTTGTTTTAAATCTCATTTTCTTCATTTTCCTTATTTGTCTGTTATGTCAAATGAATTTTGGTCTGCTTTGATGTTTATTAAGGACCAGCTTAGTTACAGCGAGGGTTAATGATGTTTTTATGTCCACACAAACAGTGAGCTAAAAAGTTGCACACTTGCAGATGTGTTGCTCTGAGTTCGGCATATTTTTTGTGTTGAAAGTAGCACATCCTTGCTTGAAGCAGAGTTTGCCTCAGTGAACCAAATTATTAATATCTTAATTAACAACTACAATATGAAAAGTGTGGGACACACAAGCAAAATGAAAGATGCTTGTTCCTTTCAGTCTGTCAGAGAATGAGCTATGCAGCTAAATTTGACTGACTCCAAAAGCTAATTCCCCTCCAGCTATGAAACAGAGCCATTTGCATAGTAAAGGCTTACATAGGAGCTGAGATGTTTTCAGAGTAAAACTATATGAAGTACCACAGAAGAAGGCACAAGTGCACATAAACATTTTGGGGACTTTTAAATATTAACTTGCTGAAACAAAGATCAAACAATGCAATTTAACAAACTTGACACAAACACTCAGCATTTAACAGAGTGAAATGAGCTAACTTTGTTCTCCAAAGTGATCCAACTCAGAGAAAAATTAAAGAATGGACTCAGCTGACTCCAAAGAGCCAGAGATATTTGGAATTTTAAAGATTTTCACACGGACTTGATTGCTAGACTCCTAAAATTGTTGGCATGTTTTGCAGCAACTGTGTCCGAAAACTGCATACTAACATGCTACCTGTGAAGCTGTCAAGGTTGTGTGTTCAGTTGTACTGTTTTCTTTTATATTATTTTTGTTGTTTGTTCCTAACTGAAAAGCTCCTCTTTGGTTTGAAGAGCTGCAGTGCATGTTGGGTGGCTAACTATGATCGCAAAAGAAAATTCTGGACAATCTTGTTTTCATCCGAGCATTTCATGCTTACATTCAATTGCCCACCTTGAATTCAGAATGCACTATACACACTTTCGACACCATACTGAGTACGAATAGCAGGAAAACTGTGAAGTGATGAAGTAATAGATCAAGTTGTAGTTAAAAACTTTTTCATACAGATGTGGGTGACAACGTTTAATTGAATATACTCATCAAAGTAGCTGTATGCATCACAGAGGCAATGTAATGATAACCACTGGTTCACGGACTACTGTTTATAGCAAAACTGTCATTGTCAATGACTAACTTGGCCTTAGGAAGCAAGAAGTGACTATATTTGGCTTCTTCAGCCCGAGAGGGCCATGGGCCACAGTAATGAGAATGTTAATTTTCATGTCAAGAGAAATTTGAGGTTTGAATTCCTGCCGAGAAACTGGGAACAACTTGGGCTGGTATCCCAAGCCCAAAATTCAAGATGTCAGCAATCAAACAGCTTTACATTTAATAGTGATTAGTGGCAACTTCAGTCCTTATTTCATCAATCACACCTCTAGTCTTGATCAAGTCCTATCCAGCACTGTGTTGCTATTACTGGGTATAGCTAACAGTGCTGAGAACAACAGGGGCTACTTTCCGACATTGTTTTCAACTCATAAGTGGAAAGGCAGGACATCATCTCCTGCTCAGATGTCCAACTCCTGAGGTAAGCATAAGCTCTGAGTCTGTCACACTTTTCACGCTCTGTCAGCCTATTTTGCCTGACAAGTGAACAACCCCCGTTGGCTATAAGCACAAATCTTGTTCTGTTTGGTTGACTTGTTCATTCACCAACTAATAGATTAGCTGTGGTGTAGACTGTAAATCTCTGATAAATTGGTGTTTACCAACCTCTTGTGGTTCTCCCTGGCATAATCCTAACTTTTAATTATGGATACTCCAGAAAATCAGCAATAAGGCAGCCAAATTTCTGAAGCTGAAGACGAGTGATATGCAAACATTTCAGTGATAGAATTTCAAAAATGTGTTTTTTTTATAAGAAGAAGGTATGGCAGAAATGATAAAACAAATTCAACATTGTTTTGGGTTCTGAAAAGTAGTAGTTGTCACAATTGTGTGTAAAATTATGTATCAGCACACCCAAAGTGTCCCTGATCTGCATAATTCAAACTTCTGTCATTAACTTTCAATGAAGTAGTTTCTACGGAACAAAGGACTCTGGCTGTCTTTCAAGGCTGTGGCAGGCTTGGCTCTTTTTCAAGCATGTGGCACTATTACTCTGTTTCCAATTCTAAAGATAAACAAGGGCATTAAACAAAATGCCAAAAAGTCACAGCATGAAGAACAAACCAAGCAGCTTTCTGTCAACACACCCTCCATTTGTCATTTCATGAAACCACTTCATTTCTTTCTTGGTGGTGTATCTGTAAAGGGCTCCAGCTGTTTGATCAAATTTTCTGCTCCCTCACACCATAAGCCAAAGCAAACTGGACTTCTGCAAACCAGCCTTATCTTTTTCCCTGACACAGCCAGGGCATAATGACCTCGCCCCACAGGTCGAAACATTTTTCTGTCCTCTCTCCTCTGAATGAGGCTGCCTCTGCTCATTAGAGAGCCAGCATTTTAAAATCACAGAAAAACAACCTGTGCCGTGACCATTAAGGACAGCATTGACTTTTTAATTAAGTCTCATAAAGGGCCTCTCAGTGTGTGGGCAGTAATGTACAGCGGCATTAAGCCAATCCCATCTCTGTGTTCTTTGGGACTCAAACAGATCTGGTCTCATTTTACACTATTAGCAAAGGTCTGAGATTGAAGCTTCCTAACAGGGATTTCTCATTATGTCAATTAATCCAACATTTCATGTGTGGAACGGGCACAATTAAGGGAAAGGAAATTTGTCATTATACTGTTTGTGGTTGTGGTGTGTGCTTGTCTTTTTTCATTTTTATTGTTGCCAGTTGTATTTCAGTTGTTGTTGCTGTTAACACCAAGGGCTCTATTTTCGTGTACGCCGGTGAGGCAGCAGAGGGTGGCGGACCCCGCGCAGTACAGCCAGTTTGGTATTTTCGTGGACTGAGGCGCACGGAGGTGAACCAAGATCCGCCAAGCTGGGTATGGGGGCGTGGCAGGGGGAAGTGGAGAAAATCCAGGAAATACAGAGTGTCCAGATTTTTACTGACTCCTCCAGTAAAGACCCCTCTGGAAAGGGCTGCCAGGACATTACTCGAGTCTCTTTTATGTAGTTTTATTTTTGCTACCTCACACACACACAATAGCTGCCTGCTACAGCTTTGCAATTAGGATTAGCCGAGACTAGAAGTAGTAGTAGGTTGTAAACTGACACGGCGTACCGGTCCTGACGATCCTCTACAAATGAGGATAAAAAAAAGAAACTGTGCCTTGTGGTATACAATCTATGGTTGTATCATAATGTATCACATCTCATCATGTCATGTCGTATCATGTTACTTTTCTTTTATAACAGCCAGTCAGCATGGCATGGAAAGTTTCCGGTGATCCAGCACCCTTACGACAGACAGGTGAGTTAAACCAGCTGATCATAAATAACTTTAGTGAATGTACTCTTTATTATTCCTTTGTCCAGTTGAAAGAGTGACTATTTACATGTGAAAGTCCTTGCTCATTGCCATAATAACAACTTCTGAGAAATACCAGGCAACTGTGTATTTTGCTTTGCCTTTTCAATCTCCATCGCATTTACAAAACCCATTCTCTTTATTTTCCTGCTAAAAACTCAATGTTTTAATAATATTACTTATGCATCAGATTTTTATAGCGCTTTATCAGAGACCTTCAAAGCGCTTTACATTGGATACATCATTCATTCGCTCACACAGTCACACCCTGGTAGTGGTAAACTACCCTAGTAGACACAGCTGCCCTGGGGCAGACTGACAGAAACATGGCTACCAATTCACACCTAAAGCCGCTCCGACCACCACCACACAACACTCACAATCATACACCAGTGGAGGACACACACTGGGAGCAATGTGGATTAAGTGTCTTGCCCAAGGACACAACAGGCAGACTGGGGATAGGGAGAATTGAACCGCTAACCTTCCAGTTATTGGACGACTACTCTACCGCCTGATCTACTGCTATTGCCATGTTCTTCACCTCTCCAGCATATGTTGCCTATAAACAGCAGTTGTTTTTATTGAAAGACTTTTGAAACATAGGGCCCAGTTAATTTGGCTTTTAGGCTTGAGTAAAGGTAAAACTACATATAGGACTCAAATTTCTGCCAAAATAGGTGAATACCACACTACAATATATCACACAAATAATACAATATAGCCTATTTACTTTTATGAGAGTGTTGTTTTACATCTTTGAAAGAAGTAGTAATCAAAACGAATCAGAAGTCAATCAAATAACATTTAATCAGCAAAGTCCCAATAAGTCTAAGATTTGACCAAATCAAAGAACTTTTTGCAGTCAGGCTACATATAATGAGTTTTATTTCAATAGTAATCAGACTACATAAAACCAGCGTACTTTTTCTGCAGAGAATAAGAGTCAAGGGGGGATATTGCACCATTTGGAGTTACTCATGTAGTAAACTAACTTATAAAACATCATGCATCAATTTCTCTGAGTTTCTCTGAATTAATGACAAGAATCAATATTTATGACTGGAGCATCACAGGGGCATGCCTAACTGTCAGACAGGAAAGAGGAAGGTTGGTGATTAAAGAGGTTTCAGATACTCAACATAAATGAATTAAGCATTAATCACTCTAAACAAGATCACCACAGATTTTCTTCATGATGGAATAACTTGCAATATATGGGTCATGACTTTTGACCCTTGCATCTGATTAAAGGTGTTGTTTACTTTCCAGATAACAGTATGTTAATAAATTTACAGTGCTTTGATGAACAAATGCTGATGAGATGGTTCAACCATGTAGCATAGCCGGCATAAATATTAAGTCAAGCTTGTTTTCTCCTTCCATAGATTTGGAGGAGGAGGAGTACAGAGCTTCTTTTCTTCCTCGGCACATTGAACTGCTCCACTAATCAAAGACCTTCAGCCGAGTCCAGGACATTATCTTCAAGAAAGAAGGTAATGGGCTTGGCAATATAAATCAGGGCACAAGAAACTCTATTATTGGTAAAGTAATGGGGACTGACGTTGTTTGTAAGCTTCAGCTGTTTGCTTAATTGCAGATTTACGAGCAACATTGGCTCTCATTTACATATGTAAATTCTGAGCAGGCCAAGAGAGCCGTTCTTGGCAATGCTTCTGTTTGCCTGCAGGAGGAAAAAAAAATGGGGCCGTGTGGCGAGAGAAGGAAGGCGAGAGAGATAAACAAACAGATGGAAGCTAAACTAGAGACGGGAGATGGAAGGAAGCGTTTAAGAAGTGATGAGCAGAAAGTGAGGCAGAGCTCTGGGGTGAAGTGACGGCCTTGCAGGGGAAGATGAGGAGCTCAACGCATCACCTGAGCACACATAGCAACTGTCTCCACCTTCCCGTAGCAGTCAGGGTGAGTAAATAAAAGATGTTGCTTTTTTCTGTAGGTTGAACCAGAAAGCGCCTCCTGCTGGTCAACTGACAGTTGAAGGAGTCCTTGGGGCACTTCCCTGCTAGGTTCAAGGACTCTCACACTCACACTGATGATGTACTCACATGTGCACAGATGTTCCTGTGCCGGATACTGTGATCTGCTAGCATTAGCAACACTCTGTGTTATTAATTCATATAGACAGCTGGGGACAATAGTAGCAGGTCCCCAGTGCTCTACCCGCTTCCAGACAGCATACTGTCATTTAATTTCACCAGGGCAAGGTGGGTACGAGTGAGTGCGTGAAGAAGGAAGAAGCTAATGGTACAAAAGAAGATAAAGAAAGGTGTGTCTTTTGAAGCCTTTTGCCGAGTTTTCCGCAGCCAAACACACTTTTATCCTCTTTGTTCCTCTGAGACGTTTAACAGTGCAGCAAACCAGCATGGGACTATGCTGTAAGAAAAGAGGTCAAGGTTCAAAATCCATCTCTTGAACAAAAAAAGCTTTGTTTAGAAAATTACTCAGCAACATTTTCACTGAATTAAACACTCTTCACTTTTGATTACATTTCTGATTATGAGCAGCGACTGTGAGTCTGATGATTTCAATCACCAGCAGAGAGAATATAGCATAAATACGATCGCACCTATTCCCAATCTATGAATATACATTAATAACTCTTCCAATCATGCAGGCTTGATTGAAATGGTGTTATAGGCAGTGAACACTAAGAAAATTGATGGAAATACTGATAGATTCTTGCGTGTGCTCTTTTAATTGCAAGGATAAGCTCAATTTATGTTGTAAATAAACCGCATTAAGGCCAAAGATAGAAACCATCTGAGGTCTCACTCTGAGTCTTTTTTTAAATAACCATGGTGTTACTTGAAGCAGCATCAAGATATGCTGCAGACTGCAGGAATGAAAGCCAGTTACTGATATACCATTAATGCAACCTGGCAGCAGAGCGAGTTGGTGTCTCAGGTCAATCTCTCCCCCTCTCTTTCTTCACACACACACACACACACACACACAGGCACAAAAGGCAGAAGAAATATCGATAAAATTCATTGCCATGTCGCAACATCTCCTCTCTGTGCTCGCTCTCCGTTGACAGATTCCTCTGCTCTCCTTCTGCTGATTGTCAGGGTGTCCTAATTCAGAGATCCTCCAAAGGCTCCATCAAAGAGCTACCTGCTGTATTAGACTTCTTTCTTCTGTTTTGCTCATTCAGTTTACCCCTGACTGTGTGTGTGGGTTGACAGGCCAGAGCCTACTCCCAGATGATGAAACTTAATAATGCAAGTTGTGTGTTCTGCTCTTCAGCGTAGACAGCCTTTTATTTGGACCTCTGTGTGAGCACACTTGCCCAACAATTGATTACACAAGAACTTCAATGCATGAATGCATGGTAAAAACAGAAACAGCACCTGTTTATATATATGATCTGCCTATACTGTAGATCTTGGGAGCAAAACTGGATAAGCCAGCTAAGGTGAAGTCTTCTGATTCAGCTTTAGATGGAGTATGGGGTTAAAAGAAGCCATTAATAGATACCTGCATATAGATGCAGAATCAGTCACCAGGAGAGAAGATTGTTGGGGTATGAAGGGCTATAGTTTCCAGTTATAGAGCAACAAGTATCAACCAATCACATTAGAGCAAGCTTCATGCCAGAGGTGAGTCCATGTGGTGAGTGCTTGGCCAAACACAGAGTTGTAATCCATCAGCAATTGTATAATTCAACATGTTTTGGGGTGAATTTTGAGCTTTTCATGCAAATTTCAGCTTAAAAGAAAAAATAAAGGGTACTTGTGTGGAAGGATAAACCAAATACTGGACCAGGATTTAATCAGTGTGACAAGGACTGCAGCTTCTGTACATTGTGTTCTTCCACCTGGGACAAACCAGAACCCCAGTGTAGCTTTTCATTCATCTTTTTAGACAAACATTGGTATAAAGTAAGTCCGTGTCTGAAGTTCCAACAGACTGAAATAAAAAGAAAGGGAGGTTTTGATTTCGACTCTGAAGGCTAATAATTTCTGCAAAAAATGTCAGTTTAGGTTGATTTTAATGCCCCCTGTGGACACAGCAGCATATCTCTTTACAGTCCTGGTTTAATCTTGTACATGGATTTGTTGATTTGGTTTTATGTTTTGGATCTCACTATGTTTTTTTTTTCTGAACAGACAGAAATATGACTCTGGAAATGTTTGCCTCTGTAAATCAAAAAGAAGTAGCATTTCAGTAGTGCGCTCTTAATCAACCCACAGCTGGCACCTATCCCCATCAGCAATCTCAGACATAAAAAGCAAGTACACTGATACTTTCAGTCTTTATTTTGGTGGACTTGTTTGCTTTTGAAGTTCATACAGACTCATCAGTATTAATTTTAGTCTGTTTTGTAACCATCTAAAGCCTCCTCGCAGGAGTTTTAAACAAAAGTGTTTTCCTCCCTTGGTCCTTTTCATCTGCACTTGAAAAAGAAGAGAAAGTCTCAGATTCAGAACCACGGACAGCTCCAGTCAGGAGTTTGGATAATACTGGCACACAGACAGACTTGGGATTGTTATTTCTCCCTCTTTGCATTTTATTACTTCACTCCCAAGCCACATAGAGTATGTTAGTCCTCCACATGCAGTGCAGGTCTTTGAACGCCTGCAAAAACACATTCCCTCTCCAAATCAATAATCCAATATGTTCAGTCAGAGATAACAGATTATCAGGAGATAGGGGCTACATACGTGGTGCCAAGAGGCGCGTCCGTCACGCCTGGCTCACACATTTCGAGTAAAGAGAGGGCCCCGCCAAAAAGCCTCTCCAGGGACTGCCAATCACCTCCAGTAATGATAACACCGGAGACAAATGAAGGCAATAACTAGCAATGGGATTAGACCTCTTATAAAAGTGTGAGAGAGGGAGATTTGGGACATTTGTCTCCTCCACTTTAGTGCCATCATGGCAGTGCAGGGTAGTGACAGGGAGCATGAGACTTCGTTTAATGGGACAGATTTAGAGGACGCTATTGTCGCTTCTTTAGTGTAAATCCTATCAAAGGTTCAGTGTGAAGAATTTAGCTTTATTTTTCAAAAAAGACTTGGTGGAAATAGTGTATTATACTCACAAGTATGTATGAATTATCATGTAATCACCTAAATATAAAAACCACTTGGTATTTAAAAGGAAAGCATTGTAACTGGAAATAAGGATGAAAAACACATTACATGTCTTTAAGATTCAATAGTCAAATTCAAATGGAAAAAATGTGATCACATGTGTAATAATGGTATTGGTATTTGAACACCAAAATAACTTGGATAACCTTCAGTTACGGTGCTGGTGGCCTAGTGGTCAAAGTGCCCTACATAGAGGCTTTAGAAATCTCTGGTTTGATTTCCTGCTACAATCTTTTGCTGTATTTCTTTCCCCCTCCCCACATTTTATGTCTGTCCTCAGCTGTCTTATCTAACAAAGAAAAAAAAAGTCAAAAATACAAAAAAATAACAAAAAAATTAACCTGCAGTCTCGTAGGTGGATAATGATAGATCGGGTAATGATCCATTTTTTGAGCAACAACACAAACAGCCATGTAAAGACAATCTTTTGCCACTTTTGGACATGAAACTTACTGGAACCATATTTCTTGGCTGTTCAGTGGTTGTTAAATGTCTCTTCTGCATTTGTTTAAAAAGGCATCATAAGTACGCCTTAGTTGTTGGTTAACTTGTCCTACTTTTGTGCGACTTTGTTCACTTTGTCACTCTATCTTTCATCCCCCTGGCAATGAGTACACTCTGCAAATGTTGGAGTGTTTTATATAAAACAGCTTCACTCTTTTAAGTCTGCAGTGTTGTTCATACTTGAGCTGGTAAACTAAGATGTCAAAATGAAGTTTCGGTTTCTTTCCCTCCCTCCTCTGTGCATTATGGCACACTGCTTCACTTTCACTCATCCATCTGAGGAATCTCCCCCTCCCACTAACTGAGTTTTTTAAAAGTTATTTTCAAATTTCTGAAAAATTGATCTAAACTAAGTAACAGACAGGATCTTATGTGAGGTATGTGAAGTTCAATATAATAATAAAATAGTAACTATAACTAGTTACTAAGTTTTTTTTTAAAAATAGCATCCAGTTGATTGGTTTTTATGCAAGAAAGCCGCAGACAGAATGGCACCAGTGCACAATAAAAATTGTATTTAGTGCCGCAAACATTATTGTGTGATGTCACACCATTCAAAATCATATTTGATCTGCATAAAAATATTTTTTTTAACGAAACACACCTTTAGCCTTCTTCCCTTTCCTGTGGTGACTTTATGACTCTCTTTCCCACAGCACCAACTACTGGTTTAAGTGGCAGCTAATCCCTTCTCTGAAAACTACGACTTAATTGTATTCAACCATAGACTGTGTATATTATGGACAACTTGGCTCCTCCTTCCATCATTACATGAATTTGAAGCCGAATTACTCTCCGTATTTCCGGGATTTTCTCCACTTACTGGAACCACCACTTGCACATTGCGTTGTATGCATTCGGTGGGAGAATTGCTGTGATGATGCTCGGGTCATACAGCATAACCCCCGGGTGAGCTACTTAATCTTCGTACACCCATAGGCTGTATCAGGTGTCAATCATAGAAAACATCAACCCCCTAATAACTTTTAAAAATGGAGCTGCACAGAAAAAAGAGGACTTGAGCACAAACCAGTCTTACAGTAAATACATGCAACATCGCAACCAGGGAGGACAAAAATGTATATTCTTTGTAATAAATTTCTGAAGTTTGTCCAGAGCTCCATAGGGATTGCTGGAGGAGGCGGGATTTATGACCTATACTGCAGCTGGTCACCAGAGGGTGCTGTTCTCGGAGTGGCTTTATCGCATGTTTTATAGG